GTCAACCTGTCCCATTTCACTCTACCCAGGATGAATGTTCTGGACAGTTTGTCACTTTGCCCTGTTGAGTGGGCTCTTTCCACCTGTGGAAGTTCCTGTTGACTTTTTCCCTTCCATCAATGGCACTGACACTGCCCACCCCACCCCCACCCTCTACTGTCCCAGGACATGGGGTGCTGAGCTCCTATTGGGAAGACAGAGAGCAGGGGGTGGCGAGGACCTCAGAGAAGCACAGGCAGGGCTGCCTGGGTGAGCAGGACTTCCCTGGCCCGAGGGCTGAGGGCAGGCAGCAGGCCTCTGGGCCTTGTTGTCCACAGCTCAGCTCTGGGGAGGTGGCTCACACCACAGAGCTGTGCTTCCCGGAACTTGCCTAGCTCAGAGGCTGGCAGGAGGTGGATCCATCAGCCCTGTAGACTTTTCCTGTTTATCAGAGTGTTTCTGTTTGCTTGGCTTCTCTGAGTCCTCCACTGCTGTCATTTCCAACAAATTCTTAGATGCATTCCAACATGGGTGTCACATCTTCCATCCTCACACATTCGTCTAGAACACATGCTGCCTGTCAGGTTCTAAAGGATGTAGTTGGATCCACTTATCCAGTCTCAGGTAAAAATTGGCCAGGAGGGAGTACCTCTGGCACACACAAAAACAGAGAGTTTCCTGAGGGTGGCAGGGGAATGGGGAGCAATGGGGTATAGAGCATGTGGGAAAATGGGAGTTGGAAGTGGGCTAGGCTCCTCAAGATGAAGCAGGACTCAGGCCTTTGTGGAAAAGGAGCATTCTTTGGGGCAGAAAGAAGGGATACAGCCACAGTGATTGGAGGCCAACACACAGAACTGAAGTCAAGCTCATGGATGTCTCAAACCTTTCAAGGTGTGAGATTGTGTAGAAGGAAGCTTCTGGTGGCTTCTACATCCATTTTGCTTTGGATGTCAGCTCTTAGAAGGAGTGAGACACTGAGGCCCAGCAAATTAGCTTGATGCTGATCATGTCTGCCACCATCCTCACCTCCCTCCCTTCCTCCGTGTTTGATGCATCCACAGCTATTTGCACACACCACTTCTGTTAACATGATGGTGATGCCTGACATACCTGAGAACATGGGACCTGCTCTATTTGACTCTCAGTGTACAAAACAGTTTCATTAGTGTGTAACAGAGTTTCATTATTCTCCTCACATGGCACCCCTGAATTTCATACATTGGTGATTAGACAAGTCAAGAAAGGATCTTAGGGGGCCAAGCAATGAGCACTAGGCCACAACAAAGCTGGTAAGGGTCAGGCGCCTGAAGCTCACACCTGTAATCCTATCCACAGAGCCTGGGCAGGAAGGTCCGGGTGACTCTTAACTCTAATAAACTACTAGAAAAACAGAAGTGGTGCTGTAGCTCAAGTGGTAAAGCTCTCTCCATGAGCTGAAGAGCTGAAGGATAGCACCCAAGTCCAGAGTTCAAGCCTCATGACCAAAAATAAAATAAAATAAAATAAAGCTGGTAAGGGATGGAGGGACATTCTAACAAGGTTTAGGTAGGGGGGCAGTGGAAATAGCACATTATCCCAAAGCTTGGATACATTCCTAGGCGGCAGGTGATCCAACTGCAGGGCTAATAGTGAGATTAAAATCAATAAAAAATAGTTTAGAAAGAAAGAAGAAAAAAAGGACAACAAGCAAGCAAGCAAGAAAGAAAGAAAGAAGGGAAGGAAGGAAGAAAGAAAGAAAGGAAGAAGGAGGGAAAGAAGAGAGAAAGAAAGAAAGAAAGAAAGAAAGACAGAAAGACAGAAAGAAAGAAAGAAAGAAAGAAAGAAAGAAAGAAAGAAAGAAAGAAAGAAAGAAAGAAAGAAAGAAAGAAAGAAAGAAAG